CCCCCTTCATGTTCATGGATGCATTCTCCGTACACCAACATAAGCATCCACAAATGAAACAAAGAGTGGTGTTTTGCCCGTAAAACAGCGGACGCGCCCCTCTTCAGTGATAACAGCAGAGAGGATGCCAGAGAGCATCACATTGCATGGCTCAAGAGACCAGAGTGCAGGATTGTCAAGTCGAAAGCGGCTTTGGGGAGCCGTGCGCTCGACAGAATTCCCAGTGAAGATGGTGATAGAAAACAAGTTGGCTTCTCAAACATTTGAGGCAGCAAAATGATCACAGCATCGCGAGTATCCAATGACTTTGTCCTTGCAGCTCATTACTGCAGCCTGCTCATGCACGACATGAAGAAGTCTTACGCTAAGCCTTTGAGAGCAAGGCAATGACGCTTACAAATGCCATGAACCAAGCAAGCATATCGAAACCCACCAACTCCCTTTGACTATAACTCTCTTGGAACATTAGCAAGAGCAAGGAACACAACCGCGACGAGCTCCTTAGACCTGTGAATGTGGCATGTCCTAGTTAGGGAAGCTGCTCATGACTTAGTGAACGACGACCAGTTGGCATGTGGAAGAATTGGCAGGCGGTCAAACGGGCAACGAAGAGTGCAATGAAGAGGGGTTCTGCCATCTCCACTGTTGTGGGGTCAGATGAGCGTCGGACACAAGCACAGATGCGAGGTGGACACGGCGTCAGATGGGCGGTGAAGCCCACTTGCTGTAGGATGGACAAGGACAGCACTGCACGCTTGACATCCCAGGGGAACGTCTCTTCGCTGCAGCACCAGGGTGCATTAAAACAAGAGGAAGAATGGCAACAGATACAAACTATATCTCCACATGAATTCACATCAAGGCAGCAATGACAGCGATGATGGGGACGAGCGTATGTCGAACGACAACAGTGCCAAACTACAGCATGGTATACGAGTGGGTCTAGTAAGAACATTCAAAGGAGGAGAGAGGAGGACAAAAGGTGTAGAGAAGGTGGGAGACAGGTGACATGGAGCAGTTTCACTTCATTACCAAAGTCATTAACGATGCCACCGGACACCGGCAGATAAGACTGTTTGACGCCAACATCAGTAAGTTTCTGCTGTTGCACCAAAGATTACATGGATGCGACAGTAGGTCACCAATGAGCCACGATGCGGATCTGCTGCTGAGGCTAGAGATAGAGCAGCAGTACAGGAAATACCCACACAGGACGACAGACATGTCAAGCAGTATGGATCATCCAGCAAGGCTGGCACCCTGAAGGGTCTGAACCTACCAGGAGAGAGAATGTGCAGCTGCAGACAAGAGAAGCAGGAGCAGCAGGATGAAGAGCAGCAGCTGGAGAACAAGGAGCCGCAGCAGTAGCAGCAGTAGCAGCAGTAGCATCAGTAGCAGCAGTAGCAGCAGTAGCAGCAGTAGCAGCTGTAGCAGCAGCAGCAGAACGAGCAGAAGCAGGAGCAGGAGCAGGAGCAGCAGGATGAAGAGCAACAGCCGGAGGACAAGGAGCCGCAGTAGCAGCAGCAGTAGCAGCTGTAGCAGCAGCAGAAGCAGGAGCAGGAGCAACAGCGGCAGCAGCAGCAGGAGGAGGAGGAGGAGGAGGAGGAGCTGACAGGACGACTACACTAATGATACAAAAGACAAAGACCAGCGGTATGTTAAGGATGCAATGAATCAATCAACATAGACTGCAAGTTTTTGCCCTGAATGAATTTGTAAGTCTGAAAAGGCTGCAAGTTCTTTCCCTGACTGAATTTGTAAGTCTGAAAAGGATATGACCAGCGGTGACATAGCTAGACACAAACCAGTCACTAAATCGATCGATGTGTTTGAAGTACCTGCACGCATTCCGCCAGAAACCAACATGATTGTTATGATCCTGGCCAATTTCGAAGTACACATTCATCAGATAGTATAATGCCGTCTAATTGCAGAAAGAAATGAATGAACTTGAGAGGAGAGAGAGGGTAAGAAGAAGAAGAAGAAGAAGAAGTAAGAAAGAAGAAGAAAGAAAGAAGAAGAAGATGATGTACACCAGCATAGACAAAGGATAATGCTCTTCTTCCTCGCCAATCACTCTCCTCCTCTTATTCACACAAGAAATAATAGTACAATGTTGAATGGCTGATCCAGAATCAATGTCCAAGTCCCTTTCTACTGCAGGTATCACTTGAGGTCCACCATAGCCATGGCCACCTCCCTCACTCTTCACTCTCATAGGCTGAGGCTATGGCGGACTTCTGGGTTTCGCCCTGATGCCCAAAGGACAACCCAAAGCAGCTATGGCTGCTCTAGCTCAGGCCGCCCTGCCTGCCTCTGCATCGAAGCTTCTTGGTGTAGCTCTACCCCAGCTGGGGTCTTCCTGCTGCAGCGCCCACCAAGGTGATGAAGATGGCTGCCACCATAGCCAGGTAAGTACCTCTGGCGCTCCCCCTTCCTCCTGCTCTTCTTCCACCTCCGTGTCCTTGCTCCTTCCCCAGCAGTGCTGCTCTTGCTAGCGCTGCTCCAGGCAGCGCTCCAACCAGTGTGTCGCCAAACTTGCACACCAACAATGAGGCTGGGCTCTTCGCCCAGCCTGGAGATATAGCGGCCTGCTTGACTCCTCGGGCGGGGACTTCCAGGCCGCTCGGCCTTCCAAGCAACCGGTACCTCCTCCCTTTCGGAGGGAAACATCATTGCAGACTCTGATATTGCCTGTACAGGCCCTAGACTTAGACTGGTTGGACTGGTACCCGCCTAGACCTAGCCTACAACTACTGGGCCTCTAAAATTGCCAACTTTGTCTTCTTCTGCTCGGCCTCCAGTACCCGCACATCTACCTCTTCAGGATGCGGTACCAATGCGGTACCGGCCTACCTGCTACTTGAGTGTTTTCCCCCTGCTGCAATCCTCAATATCACGGCCACAGGTAAGTACCGGCGCTGAGGGCCCAACGAACGAACAAGTGCCCTTGCAGGTCAACCACACACTCAAGCCAACAAGCACTCGGGCAGACATGCAGACCAGCACGCGTGCACACACACACAGACATGCAGACCAGCAAGCGTGCACACACACAGACTTAGAGAACTTAGTAGCCAGCGGGAAACTCAGCAAGGCATTCAGTCCATGACCAAAACTCAGAAATCAGCTGTGTATCTCAGTCCGCGCTTGGTCGGGTCATCACATGATGGTTATTCACGACATACGGCTAGCAAGAGAAGGACAGCACTGCATCGCAGTCTTCTGAAAATCATGTTCATAAACTCCCTCCTGCAAACGAAAGAGAGCAGACACTTCAGCTCATGTACCACCTGAATGGTACACACATGTAACTGCTAGTAAACCTTGAGTTCGAATCCTGATGCACTCACACGAACACAATAAAATCGGGCAGTACCCCGTTCAAAGAAAGATCGACATTTTAGCCAGCCATCCGTTTCCTTGCTGTGCCCACTTCACAGAGAACTCTGAACCTAAAGCTGTGACCTTTCTTCTTCAAATATCGATAGTGCTAGCTTCTTCATCCGAATAGAACGCATGGCCATTATCACTGTAACAAGACTGAAAGTTGCGTCAAATACAGCTATGATGAACATGTATATTCTGTTAGGGGGAAGATGGTTAGGCAGAGTAAAGAAACAAAAAAACGTGGCCGATAATTAATTACCAACACGCCTGGCTTTCCTCTCACCCACATGTTTACCTTCACTCAAGGATAAACAGGGCACCATCAGAACAGTTACCCCAGGGTTCGAACTCGAAAGTCTCTCCTGTATATATATGTCCAGCAGACCAAAGCACAAATACTCACTCGCTCACTTTAACCTATTCACAAGTTTCTGCATGTGCTGACATGTTCGGCAGACGAAGGCTCACTTCGCTTTCAATCATCAAGCACTGCCGAATATAGATCGGTTCCCCTACTACTACCTTCTTCACACGAATAGAACGACGACCGGTCATTATGCGATAGAGCAATAATGACCTGGCTTTCAATCATCAAGCACTGCGTATTTTTTACAACTTTTTTCAGACTAGATAGAGCGATAATGACGTGGCATTCTATTCGGATGAAGAGGGTGCCAGGGTCATATCCAAATTCCTTACCAAATTTAAAATAAACATTATTATTTTATTTTTATTTTCAATTGTTTTTGGTCCGGCCGCGCAAGTGGTCCCAGGCCATTCTGGTAGCCTAGTTAAGAACCGCATTAGTTGACTTCAGCTACAGTAGAGGAGAGAGAGAGAAAAAATGTTCCTTACATGGAATTGTTGCTCCAGAGAACGTCCTGAACAACGTCCATAGAAGCGTGTAGGATGAACTGGTGGAGATGAGCTGACTCTTCCTTCTGCATGCAAAAAATCGAAATTTGCACATAGAGAGACAAAATCAACCATACAATACTTAAGAAAAGTTAACGAAGAAAAAAGACTTCAACATCAACAAAGACTGTGAATAGATGTTCTTTCAATTTCCTATGCAGTACTATCGATTTCCTCAGATTACACGACGGAGTGTTGCTTTATATGATCGACGAAAACCCCAACTTTTTAAATACTATGGAGGTTTGTACTGACATGATAATTGATGTGTTGATACTTTGCGCTGCCTTGGACATGCCATGTGGCTGAAGAATGCACACCTAAAACTGATAATCCACAGGTTAAGAGTTCAAGGCTCTTGTTCAGTTCACAACTCATGTGTCGACCTGTCAATTAACCATTACATGTGTGTACCATTCGCATACACAGGGCTGGGTATAGCCAAGGTGTCATTTTGCACCCTCAAGAAGTGCCAAATAGTATCGTGGATCCGTAGACTCCACTAGGACGTCCAGTAGGCCCAGTTGTAGACGTGGACCTAGGTAGGGTCCAGACCTAAACCCAGGTTAGGAGGCCTACTCGACTAGACCTAGGTTGGGTCCAGACCTAAGCCCCGGTCAGTAGGCCGACTAGACTGACCACATGGTACTATTGGTCAGGACTCAGCAGATATAGGCCCACTCTCCTGGGAAATGAGTGGGGACCATAGGGGAACGGTCTATATTCTGTGGCCCTCAGTAAAGAACTGAGAAGTCAGGTAGGCCCAGTTGTGGACCAGGACCTAAGTTGGGTCCAGACTTAAACCCGGGCAAGTAGGCCTACTACAGCATCCAGTAGGCCCAGTTGTAGACCTGGACCTAAGTTGGTCCAGACCTAAACCCGGGCTAGTAGGCCTACTAGTACGACCCCGTGGTACTACTGGTCAGGGAGGCGAGGGAGGGAAGGTCTATATTCTGTTCCATCGGTGGCCAACAGAGAAGTCCAGTAGGCCCAGTTGTAGACCTGGACCTAGATTAGGTCCAGACCCAAACCAAGGTCAGTAGGCCAACTAGAATGACCCGATGGCACTACTGGTCAGTATGTCTAGGCCCATCGGTCTAGGGAAAGATTTTTCGCGGCGGGGGGGGGGTTGCGCGGGAAAGGTCTATTTCAGTGGCCCTTGGTAGCAAACTGAGAAGCTCGGTATGCCCAGGTAAAGACGGTAGCTCGACAAGATGAGAGACAATAATAAAAGTGAGCAGATGGGCAATGGACATTGAATTCCTTTTCAGCTATTGCTAGCCACTGTCACATTCACCTAACAGAAAACAGACTCTCTCTCTCTCTCTCTCTCTCTCTCTCTCTCTCTCTCTCTCTCTCTCTCTCTCTCTCTCTCTCTCTCTCTCTCTCTCTCT